AGCTCTCGATGAAAAAGTTAAAGATGTCAATAAAACTTGTCGGCGGTATATTAATAAAGACGTACTTATCACGTTAACAACAGGAGCACATCTCTTTGTGGATATTAGGTGCTTACAATGGAAAGAACTTGCCACTAGACTTGGCTATCCCGATTGGTCTGGTACATTCACACTTTCTGAAATGTCAACTGAAATACAAACTTTGTGATGGCATGTACAAATTAATTACGGTCGTAGAATACGTTGGTAGTGACAATCGGAAAGAAATCGGACACTACATTACACACTGTCATCGAGGAAGTTGGAAAACGTATGATGACTTAAATCATAATAAACATTCCATAATAGCATCAGCTAGAATGCTATTACAGAAAAAAAGATAGCCATATTATTCTTTGTAAAGCATTAAATTATTGGAATTGTTAAATCTCAAATATTTAATGCTCTACAAAAAATAATATTTAATATATATGTATTCGGACGTCGAGTGGGCCTTGTCACTCGATGCGATTGACTTGCGATCAGTAGATTCGATTCAATTTCACTTGTGCCCAACATACGCGATTTATCACGGTTAAAGATAAATGATTCGAACATGACTCCATCTGATGATTGAGAGATCTTTGATCATCAGCGCCGGATCATTCGGCGTTAAATTGTAGGTCCCACATATCAATGAATATATGTACAATGGCTAATATGCATGGCAGCGTGGCATTTTAATGCCAAAAGCTTTCCTTCCAAATCCAAAGACTATGTATAATGAAAATGATTGGAAGAAGCCGATATCCAGAAGTGGATGGAAATAGGCTGATGTATAAATATATACATTTAATCTTTAAATAAAAAACATAACATATCACCCACCCACATACACACACACACACACACACACACACACTCACTCATTCACTCACTCACTCACTCACTTACTCACACATACTTTGACATAAACACAATTATACACGAGGTGTAAGTCCGACCGCGTAATCTCCCCCCCCCCCCCCCCCGTGGTACATCTCGGATAATGCTAATACCGGTGGCAGAATACAAGTTTTTAGAGCAATGATCAAAAAATTCATAACGTAAATCACACCGTCACACTTCGTAAATTAAAATGGTAATTGCAATTTACAGCTTTTGAAGGAACGGTCATACACAAGAAACGATATACGACCATCTATTGTCAAATTATTCTACGTAAAATAAAAAACAAATATCTTCGTTCCGAAAACGAAAATGTGATACAAACAAAAGTAAGAGAGATATCTTTAAAAATGACCGACTTCCCTTCTTGGCGCATTTCCGAAATTTTGAAATCGCTATATCTCCGAACCCTTTGAGGTACAAAAAAAACAGGTACAAACGATTCTCTTTCGAATGCCATTGGTCCCATTTCGGTATTATCCATTGGTCGATATCTTGAAAATTAGCTAAGTTCGCTATATAGGGGTTGCGCAAAAACTGAAACGCGCTGTATCTCCGAACCCTTTGAGGTACAAACGAAAGTAGGAGAGGTACAAACGAAAGTAGGAGAGGTACAAATGAGTACAAAAGATTCTTTTTCGAATGGCATAAATGAAATTAAAAAATCTTAAAGTTGCGCGCTGGCCATTTTTTATTTTTCACTTTTTGTTTAACTGTTTGAAGTACAAATGAAATAATGATCGGTATAAACAAGTACAAACGAAGTACAAACGGCCTGCGGTATTAATTTTTATTTTTGATAAAGTTGAGCGCCAGGTTCACAGCCACGGTTTCGACAGCCACATTTCACTATTAAACATTCTGCCTGTATAAGAGACAGAGCAACAAACTGTTGGAAAACAAGAAAGATTCAAAACAGTTGCATAACACTGAAACACACAATCACGTAGCACTACGCACTTTCTAAAGATTCTAAAATACACTAATAACAGCGAGCGCTCACGGATCTACTCTACAACAATTGAGTCTGCTGAACACGACAATTTAAATTTCTCACGCAAAATTTATGAATGCCCCTTTTCAAAAATAAAAAATATAAAAACAGATAAGCGTTCTTCTTTAAGTGATAAATCTTTATCTTCATTAATGCGAACCGGTTCTTTTAGCATTCCTGTAAACATATCATCTCTTGTACAATTTCTTGTACAATCATCTAAATCAAGAAAATCGAATTAATATTCATTTAATTATTCTTTGAATTTCGTTTCTTTGCTCACAAATAAATCTTTTATATTCTTCTTTTCAGTGGAATAGGCCTATTGGGGAAACCATTTAAAAAGAAATCAACAAATACAGGGTGGGCCATCTATTGGTACGTTTTTGAATTTCGTCGTATGGCAACACCGAACGAGCTACAGACCCGAAATTTTGACAGTTTATTAGTCATACCGTCCGCGGCACGAAACAACATGTTTTCTCTTGAAGAGCGTTTTGAAATTTTAAAAACTTATTTTCAAAGTCAGTGCTGTGTCGCCGAAACTGTACGAATTTTGAAAAGAAATATGGGTCGTGATAGAGCACCCACCGAAGGAGCTATACGCAAATTGGTGAGGAAAGTTCGTGAGAAAGGGATGTTAGTGGATGACATTATATTACGACTGTTTTGAGTGAAATTGGCGCCGAGGTAGTCCAAAATGTCATTAATAATTGGGGTGACCGAATGGCATACTGTAAGGCCAGTAGAGGGAGCCACATGAACGAAATCGTTTTTCATTCTTGACGCGGATACTTTTAGCTTCACAACAAAAAAAAAATTAATAAAAAATATCAATGTATGCTCATTTGATCGCATTTTTAAAAACGTACCAATAGATGGCCCACCCTGTAGTACCTCAATGATGACATGGAAACTATTGTCCTATAATTATAATTATCTAATTACACAAATAAAGGGTGTCTCAAAATGATCTGACATTTTTAATTGCGCGCCATTTTTTTTTGCAACAAACGTAACGTACTATCCTTTAACAACTGGCATCAGGAAGTATTGAGGTTTAGTCATGGAGAATTACACGATCGAGCAACGCATAGAAATTGTGCAGTTATTGCAGATGAAGTTTCATGGTCGTGTTATTTCGCGCCGCGGCGATGTGAATTGGCCACCAAGATCGTGCGATTTGACGCCATTGGACTTCTTTCTTTGGGATTTTCTGAAAGGAAAAGTGTATGCCAATGATCCACAGATCATTCCGGAGTTGAAGGAAGAAATTAGACGTACCATTAATGAAATTAGTCCGCAATTATGCCAAAATGTCATTGAAAATTTTGTCAAAAGAATGAACGTTTGCAAACAGAGTCGAGGCGGCCATTTATCGGATATTGTGTTCCACATATAACCTCCATGTTTGTACTTTATATTAAACTAAAAACATACTTTTCAAATAAATAATATGTTTTATTAATACATTAAAATGTCAGGTCATTTTGAGACACCCTTTATATAAAAATATAAATAAGGACTCTCAATTTTAAAAACAATAATTAGAAAAAATTAGAACAAGGCTAATGAGAGTCTAACGCTGTTGTAAGCGAAGAGTTAGGAGATGTAGGTAATAATTCAAGTGTTGGAGGTTGTCATTTATTATATCGAACGTTTCGGCTTACTTTCTCTTTAGTGAAAAAATAGAATATAATACTACGTTGAAAGTAAGTCACTCGCAGATTGACAGAAATGCAGTAATCAATACGCTATATAAATTATTAACATTTTACTGTTAGTGCAATACTGAAAATCAGTAATAATCATGTGACTCACCTCAACGGGAAACCAAAGAAGTTTGCAAACATTGATTCGCAATTTTCATGAGATATGAATTAACATAAATCGTTCCTCGGATTAATGTCGTGTCAGTTCATCTTGTGTCGTTAAAAATGAACGTTGCAAAGTGATAAGAGGACTTATAAGCAAACAATGACAATAAATAATAATAAGAGAATCAATCTATAACCATTTTAAATCTTACTATTGTTTTAATGTATCTATGAAGATATCTGCATGATATATGAAGCATTTCTGAATTTATACGTTTGAGAAATCTTTCCTTATCAAGAATTTGGACATTCTCCCAATCAAATTCATGATTAAAATCAAGTCGATGGTCTGTGATCATTAATTGGTTCTTGTTAATGCTGTTAATATGATTGCGATGCTCGGATATTCTCGTGGATAATTTTTGACTTGTTTGACCAACATATCAAGCATCGCAATCTTTACAAGGGATTTTATACACCACATTTTTATTAGATAATTTTGGGAGAGTATCCTTCTGTACCTTTATGAACTTATTAAGCTTATTCAAAGCTTCTGAAGAAGGACAGTTTCACATTAATGTTCTTGATAATCGTAAAAAATTTCTCGGATATCGATGGAACATAAAATAGAGTGAACCATGATGGACGTTCTTCATTAGTAGTATCGCTATTAACATTACTCTCCTTCTGTAGTTTGTAAAACAACATTTTTAGACATGAATTGATGGTGTTAAAAATAAAGTTAATCATTATTTAATAGAGCATTGACTATAAACTTCATGTTCTTGTAATAAAATTTCGGACTTGAAAGTAATAATACTCTGTCAACTATTCCCATTATTATGCCTTTCTTCTGAGAATTTCGATGTGTCAAAAGATAATTTAAATAATGTCCGGAAAAATAGATTTGTGGAACCAGTCAAATTCTAAACTTCTTTTCTCATTAACTCTTTCGCTACGGCGGTTCGGTCTGCCGTAGCCCCACCACTGAACGGGACCCCGCGCCGAAAGTGTGCACATTGCGCGTAGACAGTGTATCTTGGAAGAAAAGGAATTTTTCTTTAAAACAATATACTCATAATTTCTACATAAAAGATATAAACTTATTTAATGGGTATAAAGAGTCTGATGAACAATTAAAAATAGTGAAAGAATAATATATTAGGTGTAGTAAAAAGAAATCCATTATTTTTCCAATACTACATGGGCTGAAAGTCTCGGGATTTTTAATGAAAACAAGCGTTTTTTGGGCAAAGTTATATTTATTCCTCAACATAGTTGCCTTCGAGGGCGATACACTTGGTATAGCGATTTTCCAACATTTCGATGCTCTTTCTGTAGTACGAAACGTTCAAGCCTTTGAAATACGCCTCGGTTTCCGCGATGACTTCCTCATTCGATGTGAATCTTTCCCTGGAGCCACCGCTTGAGGTTTGGGAACAGATAATAGTCACTGGGGGCCAAGTCTGGAGAATACGGTGGGTGAGCAACCAATTCGAATCATAATTGGTCTAATTTGACCATCGCTTTCAAGGACGGTGCGTTATCGTGATGGTACAGAACATTTTTCTTCGCTATGGAGCCGTTTTTTCTTTATTTCGTCGTTTGTCCAATAACGCTGCATAATACTCTCCCGTAACTGTTCTTCCCTTCTGCAGGTAATCGAGGAAGATTATGCCATGCGCATCCCAAAAAACGGAGGCCATAACCTTTCCGACCGAGCGTTGGTCTTTTGACCGCTTTGGTCGGCTTTCGTAGCTTTTCAGATACTCTGCAGACTGTCTATTGGACTCAGGCGTATGGTAATGGACCCACGTTTCATCCATCGTCACAAAACGTCGAAAAAAGTCCGCTCGACAACATCATTACGCTGCAACAACGTCAAACCGGCCGTTGAATCATCACGCGCTGCTGTTTTTGGTCGATGGTCAGCAAACGCGATACCCATCGTGCCGATAGCTTTTTCATCTCCAAAACATCGTGCAAAATGTATCCCGCCCATTCTTTTGAGATGCCCACGGCCTCAGTTAACTCGCGCAACTTCACTTTACGATCACTCAAAACGATTCGATGCACTTGCTTTGCGATTTCCGCATTCGTAGCCTCTTTTGGCCTTCCAGGTGCATCTTCGGTGCTTGTACGACCCATTTTAAATTCACTAAACTACCGATAAACTGTTGCTCTCGAAGAAGCAGATGTGAGATAACATTTTTGCAATTTCAATGATTGTTCAGAAGTTTTTCCCATCAAAAAACAATGTTTGATCAAGATGCGATATTCCTGTTTTTCCATTTTTTTTTACGAAGGCGAAAGTAACACCACTTAAATGACTGTAGCTTGTAAACGAACGAACGAAATGTCATGAAACTTCATACATAAACTAGTGACAGATGAACCTCTCGAAATGAATCATGTTCATTTTCTAGTGGCGCCATCTATTGAAAAATCCCGGGACTTTTCAGTCCATGTAGTAGATGGCTTTAGTACGCGTGCCTCATCTACGCGTGATACAGATTACTAAAGCCATCTATTGGAAAAATAATGGATTTCTTTTTACTACACTTAATATAATATACAGTGATATATAATATACAATAATAAAATAAAACATAATATATAATATACAGTGATTAATAATTTAATTCAGTGTGATATATTTTGAAACATATATATTTGGATACACGCACAACCCAACATCACATTCTTGGCATTGATAACAAGATTCTCGTCTCTTATTGTTTTTCGTACATACAACACACCTTCGCGATCTACTTTTTCCTTTAGCTTCATAAAGAGAAGGAAAATATCTTCCGTTGAGTCTTGATGAGTGATTATTTCCGGGTCTAATAGGATGACGGTTTGTTTTTTCCTGATATTTCTTCAAAATTTGATCGATTAATTTCAGTTGAAATTTTGCAATTGATATTGTTTTATCGGTTTTCAATTTATATAGGCAATATGAGTTCCATAAACACATGTCAATCATATAAAAGAAATATTTTTTGTACTACTTCGTTGTTTTTCGGGTAGAATTTATAGTGCTGATGATCATGTCGGTTCTATCTACAGCACTCATCAATTTATTATAGTCGTGTACACAAGATGGTTTCTGTACAATTTCTTGTGCACTGTAGTGTTTTAGAACATCCACAAATTCTTCCTTATGTATTGTAGAAATCATAAAAACCTCTTTTTTATCCTGCCATTTTATGGCTAACATATTCGCGGCTGAGCGAAAGCACGCTTCTCCTCTTTTTAATTTTTCGTTTATTTTAGGCATTCCTTTTCTCCTCTTTTTTACAGTGCCACACGCATTTGTACAATTTTTGTGCAATACATCAAATAATGCGGGGCTCGTGTACCAATTGTCGACGTAAAGGATGTGGCCTTTACCTAAATATGGTTCTAGGAGGGACATTACAATACTTTCTGATTTACCATAGTCCTTATGTTCGGTCCCTACAGTGGTATCAGTCCCCGTATAAACAATAAAGTCTTGAATATAACCCGCCTTGCAGTCACAAAGAACAAACGATATTATTCCAAATCTATTTCTCTTCGATGGAATAAACTGCTTGAAAGACAGTCTGCCTTTGTATAGAAGCAGACTTTCATCTATACACAGGTTACGGTAAAGGTAAAAGAATTTTAAAAAATGCTTCTCGTAACTCATCAATTATTTTGCAGATTTTATGTAAACGATCGGAACTGGATACATGATCGTCACTAAAATGCAACATTTACAGAAGTAATAAGTACCGGTCTCTGCTGATTACTTCACCAAAAATATCACTTCTCAATAATTTATCTCGGCTCCAGTGTTCTGCTAACGATAGCCCTTTGTTTCTGGTCATCAAAAAAGAGATAGCGAATATAATTGAAGCAATATAATTCATTTAGCTGTGTACCAGCTATTATTTCATTGTTGTTGTTCTTCTGTCACCAATAGCTGTTTGTTTTTTCAGTAATGTATTCTATTAATTTTTCGCTGACAAATAACTGGAAATAATCTATAATTTTCCACGAGTATCTTATCCCTGATTGAATTTCTGAATTCCGTGCGTTAAAATGGTGAATTTTGGGTTTGAATTTTGCCGTTGTCCATATAATATTTGATAAGGCCGTACTTTCCATGTAATTATCTTCAATTTCCTCAGACTCTGAGATACTTAGTACATTTACTTGTCTTTTTTTGCAAGGTATTATTTCTGTACTTGATTCGCTTTCATTGCAGCTATCCGGATCAATTTCTAATTTATCGAATGTGTTCATCAGTTGCAATTCTCTTGATACCATTTTGAGAAAGGCAAAACCTGAACTCTTTATGAAATGAAAAATAAATTATAATATTTGTAAGAAATGAGGATACTTTTAGACAGCAGGCGGACGTACCAATACAAAGCTCCTCTGAAATTCTTTTTCCTAAAGTTTGCTCTATCTTCAATTTTCTATTCCTTTATGGCACTTAATAGTAATGAAAAAAATGGAGGTAGAACAAATATGATTCGAATTGTATGGTTTATTCCTTTTGTCAAAAAATTTACGCGGCGGTCACAAGAGGCGCTGCTATCCAAAAAAATAGGTCGCGATTGTTGCCAGCTTTAGCCGGCGCACGTCGCTGTGGGTCACACCATGCATGCCGGATATATCCGGCATTCGTCTCCAGGGGGCTATTATGCGGATGCCGGATATATCCGACGTTCGGAGCGAAAGGGTTAACAATGATTGTCAAGTCTAAAAAATTAATTCTACTTCCACCCACTTTCATCGTGAGTTGTAATCTCGCGCCATGAATTAAAATTTTTGAGTATTTTATCAATTTCGCTAGATGGTATAGCCATAATAATGTCATCTACCTAAAATAAAACGGGATAGAAATATCTGTCTCCTCAATGCATTTAGATCCTCCATCACTATGTTAGCAATAATCGGAGAAAGAGATGAGTCCATTGGAATTTGGTATACCAAACAAAATTTTTGCTTAAAAAGCTCCTCATTAAAGGTGAAATACAACGAATCCAAAACAAATTCCAGAGTATTCCAGAAATTCTTTTTTCGGATTCAACATCGATCTTTCGAGGTACTTCCATCTCTTGGCTATACATTTCTTAGCAAAATTTAATAGAATGTTGGTGAACAATAAAATTACGTCAAGAGAAATTAAAATTATGTCATTATCTAAAATATAAATAAAATCTGGCCTGTAATTTTTGTATTAATTAAAAACTATTTTCAATATGACTGGCTGGTTTCAGTGATCTTCTTGCAATTATTTCATGTAAAAAAGTAACTAACGGATATAATGGACTGTCCAAAGATGAAGTTATAATCCTAAAGGGACCAATCTGGTTCATAAATTCTAGGTAGTATACTGTCAGTGAAAAGCAGTTTCTTATAAGTCTGTTCAGTAATGAATTCTTTTTTTTTTCCAATGCACAAATAATTCTCTAATCCTTCTGGCATTGATGGGATTCTTCATTATTTTAATATAGGTCTCTGTGTCATTTAACATTCTCATAATTTCTGAGATATATTTTGCTTTGTTCAAGGACACGGTGATATTGCCTTTGTCAGATTTAGTGAAAATAATGTTGCGATTATTTTTCATAAATTGAGCTGTGTAATTGATCGAACTATTCAACCTTTTTTGAGATACTATTATTTTTAATGGAGTTTGATAAAAAATTTTTTTAAATTGGAGTGATCAGATTTCTAACTCTCAAAATGTGGCTTGACTTTCTTCATATTGCTTTCTACATTTTTGAAGAACTCCATCATTATTTCAACATTGTTACCAGAAGGAACAAAAAATTTCTCTCCCAATGCAAGAGAAACTGGACATTCATTGGGATGGTCATACCTGACAAATTTACAAACCAACCCTCCTTCATTGTTCGTAATGAAGATTCAGGTAATTTATTTAAAAATTCCTTTGGATCCAATCTCACTTCAATTATTCGTTAAGTGACATACTGTTATTGTGTAACGAGTTTTAAAGATCCAAATAACCAAATTGATCCATTGATCAAATTATTATCAGTTTCATTGTTCATCCACACCCTAATGAATCAATTTTAATTCACTACAAATTCTCCTCCAATTTAAAAAAAAAATCCATTTTAGTTTTTTCGATAGTTTTTTTTCTTCTAGTTTCAAAAGATGTTGAAATGTATGTTCTTGTTTAATAAAAAAGGAGCTATTAATGATTTGTATTAATTTATATCTCATGAAAATTGCGAATCAATGTTCGTGAACTTCTTTGATTTCCCGTTGAGGTGAGTCACATGATTATTATTGATTTTAAGTATTGCACTAACAGTAAAATGTTAATAATTTATATAGCGTATTGATTACTGCATTTCTACCAATCTGCGAGTGATTTACTTTCAACGTGGTATTATATTCTATTTTTTTACTGAAGAGGACTCCAAAGTGGGCCGAAACGTTCGATATAATATTATAAATGAAGACAACTTCCAACACTTGAGTATTATCTACATCTCCTAATCTTCGTTCTTACAACAGTGTTAGACTCTCATTAGCCTTGTTCTAATTTTTTCTAATTATTGTTTTTATAATTATCTAATTACAAACTGATAACAAAAAATAGCCACTAGGAATTAGCGCTGTAAACGGGGCACAATAAATATAAATGTCATTAAAATATAATTATGTCTAATTTTTCAAGAATAAATAAGACTTATTCCGTTTATAGCGCTCGTTCCCAGTCGCTACATTTTTTGTTACTAGTTTTATTTATTTCGGGAATTGAGATTATTATTTTTTTAATTGTTTATGATTAGATAATAATTATATTTTTTCAATTGTAATAATTAGATAATAAATATATTATTATATTGGGAGTACAAATAAGTTTCCGCCGTTTTTAATCAAAAATTAAGCATTTATTGTAAAAGAACGGTACATAATGTTTTATTGAAAGTATTATCCATCGCTAGCCATTACTTTTTCCCATCTTTCTGGTAGCATACGGATACCGCGTTGGAAGAACGCTTCATCTTTTAAGGTTATCCAATTATCGATCCAATTTTTGATATCTTCATATGATGTGAAGTGCTGCTCAGACAGGCCATGCGTCATCGATCGAAATAGATGGTAATCGGAAGGGGCAATGTCTGATGAATGGGGGGGGGGGTGGGGTAAAACTTCCCAATTGAGTGTTTCCATGTAGGTTTTGACCGGCGCCGCAACATGTGATCGAGCATTATCATGCAGGAGAATAATTTTGTTATGTCTGGAGTAGTAGTGGGCGCGTTTTTCCTTGAGTGCTCGACTCAATCTCATCAATTGTTCGGTAGAGAGTCCCAGTAACGGTTTCGTTCGGGTTGCG